CTAGGTTCTACACTAGATGCTGTACCTATAACCCACTATTACTTGAGTTACTCAATTAAACCCTCTGATCTGAGTTTTCTGCCAATCTATCTAATTTCACCCGGAACATGTGATACATAAGTCAGTCCAAGTTCCAAGATCATCACATGCCACCTATAGATCTACCGGCATGATTAACCAATTTATCCTTGAGTGCATTACCTGCTAGAGCAGTTCGGTCCCACTATACCATATTACCTAGTCTACTTCGGTAACTTACACTTAGGCCGAGACCAAGTACTTATGAGCCAAAGCCACTACCATTACCTACTACATCTTTATAGAGTTTACCCAAACCCCAGCATCCACTATACGGACTATCCTCTGTACACCCATCGTCCCAAACTTCCAATCCAGATGGCCCGAAGGGCTGTGACCTGCCCCTAGTCACTACGATTAGGTTCTTTTCCTCTGATTACTCTCTGGCAGCCTGGTTAGTAGAGTGCCATGCCAAACACTTTGGTTCTGTTCAGTTTTTCGGTTTCCTGGTTGATAATTCATTACGTAGTACTATTGAAGATCTGTGCTATCTTTCTACTCGGGTCTTGCCAAGCGGGCTTCCATATGCGCCAACCTCGGATTTACACGACTGCTTCACTCAGGTTTTGTGTAACTCATACATTACACTATTATTCCACAGTCTCCCAGTACAAGCTGGTGTGACCTAGTTACAGATGTCAATCTGCCCTTACACTCACAGTTGCCGTAACACTGTACTAAGAATTTAAATTTTTGTCGCTGGTGGGATTCAAACTCTGTTCTTGCTATTTGGGAGTGCGACAACTTCACTACTTCACTAAGTCACCACATCCATTATAAAACATAATAATAAATGATAATAAATAATAAAAAATAATAAAAAAATTAAAAAAAAAATAAATTAAATTTGTGTGAAAAAGGTATTTGCTAAAAAAAACTCCATCATAAAAATAAAAATATAATAAAACACATAAATCTATAAAATATAAACATAATTAATAAATTATTATATCTATATCCTTAAAAAAACTTACTGATTTCTTTTTAAAAACATTAATTTTTCTACTTAATTAGGATTTAATGATATTCTTTCAAATATAATTAATTTATTAGCATCAGAAAATAATCTTTCTGATGGTACAGAGGTTGCAGGAATTGATAAATATTTTATTGCAAATTGAGATAATTTTGGATAAGAATTTTATTAATTTGCTACTATTTAAAAGGATCATGTTCTTCTAATTTAGAAGAAGATCTTTATTTTGATAACGAATAAATTCATTATTTATTGGAGTAAGAATTGTTTGATTTCTTTTTGCAAAAATATTGGCTATCACAAATTTACTTGTTGAATGTTGATGAAATATCAAATTTTGAGAAACAGAATTATCTTTAATATTTTCATATTCTTTTTTAATTTCATTTATTGCTTGAATTTTTGATTCCTAATGATAAATTGATATATATTTAGAGATTTCTATTTGTATACTATGTATACATATATGGATAATAAGAAAGCCAATTAGATTACACAATTAGATGTAATGCAAAATATTGCTTTCTTTAAAAAATAGATTATAACTCAAATTTTATTTATGAAACATCTTTTAGGTATTAATAAAAAAAATTCTTCAAATCTAGTCATCCTTATCCTAAACTTTAACTGCACTCACTTTTTGTTTTATATAAATTATTTTGATTGCACATTATACAAATTTGCAAATTAATACCTGTGTATAATACGCTTTGTGTAAACTAAGAAATTTTTATATATTTATATATATTTAAAAGTTTTTATTAAAAATTTTAAATAAATAAATTATTATTAATATAAATCAAGAAAATTAATATTTAAAAATTAATATCTTAATTTTTATTGTAAATATTTTAATAAATTTTAAAACTATTCTTATAAATGAATAGTCAAATAAAAACTTAAGATTTAAGCTTTATTTGGCTATTTAATTATGAAAATAGCTTCAAAATTTATCAAGATATTAGCAATAAAAGTTAAGATATTAATATTTTTTAAAATGTTAATTTTCTTGATTTTTATTAATAACAGCCCAATAAATTTTAATCTACTGGTTCATTTTAAATGAATTAGTTATCAAAATATTTATTTTGATAAGACAATTCTGATGAGTTTAAATTTATTAAAATCTAATTACAGGATTTTAAAATTATTAAGAATTTATATTATTTAATCATTTAAAAATTAATTAAATCAGAATTTTGTAATTAGATTTTAATAAATTTAAATTTATTAAAGTTATCTTATCAAGATAATTATTTTAGTTTTTTTTTTAATATTAAGGTGACCTCTTTGCCATACTGCTCTTTATTTGAATATTAGTAGTATTTTTAATCATCAAAACATTCTAACAGCTATACATATTTGTAGAGTACAAACTTTTGAGCACCTATTTAAGTATATACCTACTGTCTCTGCACCCTACTAAGGAAAATACCTATTTAAACTCTCTGCGTCTATGTTCTTACCCTTTTATATCCAAGTGATGATATTTAGTACCCACTTATTTTACATGCTAGCTTAGAGCTTTAAAGCAGTTTCTACTATTTAGGAAGTTCTTTGTCTCAAAGTAAACCTGCTAGAGCTTTCTATATACACATTTAGGCTAACCTAAACTTATGCCTAGTCTGAGAACAAGTATTTGCATGTGAAACTACTACCGTTATCTACTTCTGCTCTTATAAAGTTCACTCATACTCAGCTATAATACTCATCTAATTAGAGATCCCTTTTACTGTTTCACTAAACTTCTAATCCAGATAGCCTAATTTGGTTCACAAGTTACGTTACCTGCTTTTCTACTGGCTTAACCCAAATACTGGCCTGTGCTCTTTTTCTTTAGTTGATTCTGGCAGCCTGATTAGTATAGTATTTGCTAAACACCTGGTTCTTGTTCAGATCTGCAGCTTTTTGGTTCCTTTTTTTAGACTTTCTAGAACTGTCAAAAGTATCTGCTACTTCTTTACTCAAAACTTGCCAAGTGGGTTTTCATTTAGGTCTAGTTCACAGATTTATACAAGTCATAGAGATTTATTATATGTTTATATTGTCTTTTATTAGTTTGTATCTCTTCGTTTAACTTCTCTATTATACGAATGCTTCATGATCTTCCAAGTCTATACTACCACTCCAATTAGGGCTTGCAAGATAAGCTGCCCATTAAGCAATTATTAACCCTTACACCTATATGGTCTGATCATTGTTACAGAATCTACATTCCAACCCCAAAATAGTTATTATTACACAAAAGAATTCAATTTTTTATTGTTAGTGGAAATTGAACTCTGGATATGCCACTTGAAGGCAACAACTTGACCACTTCACTAAGTTGTCATACCTCTTAAGATGATTATTTTAGTAGTTGTAATAGACTAGTAAATTAAAAGTTATTAAAAATTTTAAAATTTTTAAAATTTTAATATAATTTTATTAAAATTTTACCTGTATTAAAAATAATAAATCTTTAAATCTAAGATCAAAAAATGATGTATAAATTTCAATCTCATTTGGATAGATCCAACATGAACTTAAATCTTCTTAAATAATTTTTTATATTTTTATAGCATCTGAGATATTATAGTTAGTAGATTTTTTAAAAAAGAATTTTAAAAAGATATTATACAAGAATATATCAGATTATGTGTTAGATAACATTAACTACTAAATAATCTATTAAGTTGTTCAAAAGGTTCTAATAATTGTACTACTTTTCTAATAATTTTCTATTTATAAATAGTTGAAATTAGATCTTCTAATAATTCTTCTTCTTGTTTAAATCTAGTATTTATATCTTGAAGTAAAGTTTCTTTAAGCATAATAATAACAGATTTTAGTATAATAAAACATTTAAATGAATAATAAACTGAAATCCATTTAGTATTATTTGCATTAACTGTATTAAGAACAATATATTCTTCATCATTATCTAATTTATTACTATCTTCTTGTTAATTAATAAGATAAAGTTATACTTCTCTAAGTTGTTGTTTTTTATCTTGTGATAGAAATTTAATTAAATTTTTATATTTTATTACTAATTGATCTATTTCTTAAATTTCTTTAGTAATACTTAACTGAAGAGTATGAGCTATACAACATATATGTGTTCCAATTTCAAGTTGATTAATAGCTAATTTTCATTACTTCTATTATCAGTAACAATGGTGCATAATTTAAATTCAAGTTAAATTTATTAATAAGTTTTTCAACTTCTTCTTTAATTATAATTGCTATATAAGGATATAGAATTTCTTTAATAGTTAAAAGAATTTTATGTGAAATAAAATGATTTGTTATCCAATATAATGTAACTCCAAGATAAAATATATATACTATAGAACTCAATAAATCTAATGTTATACTAATATAATTCATTTCATTAATTTGTTGTTGAATTTTTATAATATTATTATAAAAAGTTTCATCTATTTTATTTTTTAAAACTTGTCTACAAGGAAGCTTATATTTAGAAACTAAATTATAATAATATCTAATAAAATTTTTGTCTTCAATGATAGCAAGTGGTTAAATATTATTAATTATAAATCTAAGAAGGCTATTATTTAATTTTTGTGTTTGCACTTTAGTATATGGTTTATTAGTTTCTAAAGTTTGAGTTAATGTTAATTGACTGTGATATTGAAGTCTTTTTTAATTCATCTATTGATTTTTTATTTAATGAAGCTTTAGTTATTTGATATTTATTATAACAATAAGCTTTTATTGTTGATAGTATATTACAATTACCAAGAGCTGCATTACAATTAGCTATTTGACAATGAACTTTTCTATCACAAGGTTGGAAAAAAATTTTCAAACAAATAATAATTTTGGTTTAGTTGAAATTTTAATTAGTTTTTTTTTTTTGTTAGTATTAAAAGCTCAGAAGTTATATTTCGATTAAATTTTTGATTATTTCTATGATCTTTAATTTGACTAATTTCTTGTAAATTATCTTCTTCTTTATCACTACTACTTTCTTTATTATAGACACCAATAAAAATATCATTATCAGAAATATAATCTAAAGATTAATCTTCACTATATTTCTCATCATTAGTTGATAAATTACTTTATTGTTCTTCAAGTTTACGGTGTTTGCTCTAGTTATAGTAGTCATAATGATGTATTTATTATAATCATTTAATTGTTATTAAATTATACAATTATGAAATTATATTTATAAGTTTTATTAAAATTATTATTTGTAATTGCATAGTTGGATAATAATTAGATGATACAACCTGGGCTGTAATTTGCAAAATTTTATTTTTTGTAAGCCACAACAAATATTAGACTAAGTACAAACAATAGACTTAATGTTTTGATAAAAGAATGCATCCTAAATTTTTATAAAGGCATAGCCATTACATTTTTTTAGTTATTTAAAAGCAAAGAGAATATTTATATAGTTAAATATTTAAATAATAAACAATTATATATCTTAGAATCGATTCTAAATCAAGAATTGATTTTATAATCGATAATTATTTATAGATCATTTGTCTAGAAATTAGAATTGATTCTAATTCAATTAACAATTAAAACAATTATCATAGAATCAATTTACAACCCTATCCAGTAGCTATTATATGGGTACCAACCTACAGATTACCTGTAGATGAGTTTGGAACAAATTCTGACAAGCAAAATCCTAACAGATTATAATCCCAACAATTAAAAGTTTTTATTATCAGCCCATAGTTAACTCAAGCCTAACTCTTATTTAAAGTAATCTAATTCTAAAATTAAGTATATTATAAGAGACTACTTTACTTTAAATATACTCTATATTTGTGATTTTCTACTGAAAATTTGATTTTAATTGTCAAAATTTTTTTGTTAAGATTATGATTATGTTTGTCAGGATTTTGACTAGCACTCAGTGATCAACCCAACAAATATTTTATTTTATTTTTTACAATTTAATTTTTATTGCAAGTGCTTAAAATTATATGTAATTAGAGTTCTAAATATATCTGATCAGAATTTATCTAGATATCTGTTTACTATTGTTATCTAGCAAATTCTTATAATTATAGATTTATTTCTTTTTGTTATTTTTTGGAATGTTATATCATAATTATGTTTATTTGAATTAAAACTCAGTTAGCAAATCACGACTTAAGAATTATGATCATGAATTGTTGAATAACACAAATATTGAGTAATGAGTTGATAAATATTGCAAAATTTATCTAATTGTGTAAATAATTAGCTGACATATGCTACTGGCAGCACTGTTAGCCAATCATTTGCCCAATTAGACAAATTTTGTGATATTTATCAATGTATGTTCAATATTTTGAAACAATTTATTCGAATATTTATATCAATATTAAATGATATGGATAAATTTATCTGAATTCAAACACTAATTCTATATCATTGCAATCATCAAGCATTCTTTTTATTCACTATTGTATATCAAGCCATCTTTTTAATAATAATACAGATAATGAAAATTTTAGCTTTATGCAGTGCACTATATATTTAACATATTATAAGATAACAAACTTTTGTATAATTAATATATTAATAATAAACTGCAAATTATATTATAAGCAATAAACAATACATTATAAAAAAATTCCTCATTATTGATCAATAGAGCTTTTTACTAGATTAACAATCATTATAAATCTAAATTCTACAACAGTTTTTTACTATATATATTATATATTCA